TGTTCACAAGGAACGTTGCATTCTCCAAACTATTAGCTCATGTTATCAAGCTCAGGGCTCACCACCCTGATTATCTAATCGAACTTATTCAATTGGATAATGCTAGAGAATTCACATCTAACACTTTTGATGACTATTACATGTCGGTTGGGGTTAAAGTTGAACATCCAATACTCCATGTTCACACCTAGAATGGCCTGCCAGATGCATTCATTAAGCGTTTATAAATGATTACTCGATTGTTGGTCATACGTACCAAACTCCTGATCGCTTCTTGGGGCCATGCAATATTGCACCCAGCCATCTTAGTCCATCTGAGGCCTGTTACTTACCAAGACCCGACATATTGCATCTGCGTGTTTTTAGTTGTGCGGTTTATGTGTCGATTTCGCCCCCCCTTACATACAAAAATAGGGACCCAGCAAAGATAGGAATCTATGTCGGATATGATTCTCCTTCAATTATCTGTCACTTATAACCTTTGACAGTAAATCTTTTTATCACTCGTTTCATAGATTGTCACTTCTATAAGACAGTACTCACGTCATTAGGGGGAGATAAGAATGTCACTGTTCCTAAAGAACAACGCGAATTATCGTAGATGACTCCCATTTTGTCTCATTTAGATCCCCGCATTGCTTAGTCTGAAACTGAAGTGTAGTGCATATTAGATCTTCAAAGCGTAGCTCAGAGCATGCCAGATGCTTTCACGAATCTAGCACGAGTGACAAGATCACATATTCCAACTTTCTTGGATGTACCAAATTTACAATGGACTTCCCTCATAGAGGCCCAGGATGCCACTTTGGCCAATCCACGTACATTACTGGCTTGCCAATCCTCTGCCCCTACACAAAAGCATGGCAGACCACTTGGTTCAAAAGATTCACACCCCTAGAAGAAGAAACCCACAACACAAACTGTTGAGCCTATTATGAATTTGACTATCGCTTACTCATTCTATCTAACTCATGAGAAAATTATAGATTACGAAAGCATCCTTGAACCCGATAATCATGAGATTTTGGGCCATTATGCTAGCTTGGATGATGTTTAATGTAGAAATAAGATGACTATCGACGATGCATTAGCATATGCAGTAGTTACTGAGATCATGTTGAGCAATGACATTGAACCCCGTTTCATTAATGAATATTGACGTAGAACTGATTGGTCAAACTGGAAACAAGCAATCTAAGTTGAACTCAATTCGCTTGCAAAATGTAAGGTATTTGGACCTGTAACCCCTACTCTTCCACATGTGAAGCCATTTGGCTACAAGTGAGTTTTCGTTCGGAAGCATAATGAGAAGAACGAAATTGTGCATTACAACGCTCGTCTTGTTACGCAAGGCTTCTCATAATCCCTCGAGATTGACTATGACAAAACTTATTCACCCCTTATGGATGTGATTACTTTTCGCTACCTTATCAGTTTGATAGTTTCTGAAAAAACTGAGTATGCAGCTAATGGACATAGTAATTGCATATCTATATGGGGATCTTGATACGAAAATTTATATGAAAGTTCCTTAATGACTTAAATTGACTGGATAAAATTTTTCCAAACCCCGGAACACATCAATTATGCTAAAGCATTCACTCTACGGTTTAAAGTAATCCTGAAGAATATGGTATAACCGTTTGAGTGAGTATTTGACTAGTCAGGGATATGTGAACAACGAATTATGCCCTTGCATGTTCATTAAGAAGTCACAATCCGGCTTTGCAATAGTTGCAATTTATGTCAACGACATAAACCTCATCGGAACTCCTGAAGAGCTTAAGAGAACTGTCTCGCACCTGAAGTTAGAATTTGAGATGAAAGACTCGATATTATCTTAGTCTTGAGATAGAGCTCCAATTGGATGGAATCTTAGTACATCAATCGAACTACACCCAAAAGGTGTTGCATCATTTTAACGAGGATAAATGAAGCCTTAGAGTACTCCTATAGTCGTACGATCGCTAGATGCAAAACGAGATCTCTTCAGTCCAAAGGAGGATGATGAAGAGATTTTGGAACCCGAAGCTCCTTATTTAAGTGCGATAAGCGCTTTATTATACTTAGCTCAATTCATTAAACCCGACGTCTCCTTCCCTGTTAATCTTTTGGCAAGATACAGTAATGCACAAACGCCCAGACACTGAACTGGTGTTAAAGACATCTTTTGTTACCTTAATGGTACTACAGATCTAGGATTGTTCTATCCTTACGTATCCTCGAGTGATTCTGCATCCCCCTTATCTCGAGTTGATTTCCGCCTTGTTGGTTATGCCGATGCATGATATTTATCTAATTTGCACAAGGCACGCTCGCAAACGGGTTATGTCTTTACTATTGGAGGCATCGTAGTTGCCACTTCGTCTAACCATGCTGAAATTATCACCTTACACGAAGCTACTTGAGAATGTTTATGGTTAAGAGTAGTTATGGGCCATATTCAAAGCTCATGCGATCTTTACCCCGTCGTTGATGTCCCAACGACGATCTATGAAGATAATACAGCATGCATCGAACAGCTCAATAAGGGTTACATCAAAGGAGACAACACCAAGCACATTGCGCCAAAGTTCATCTTCTAACATCAACAGCAAGAGCATCAAAAGATTGAAGTCACGCAAATCCGTTCACAAGACAATCTGACCGACCTCTTCACCAAATCACTACTGAATGCGGTGTTTCAGAAGCTTATTTAAGGAATAGGTATGTCAAACTCAGGGGAAGTATCCTAAAGTATACTTGCTTGATCTTAATGTACTTTTTTTTCCTACTATTATAAGCATTTTTTCTTTTGGGTTTTTACTACCTAACGAGGTTTTGACGAGGCATCCACCTTGGGTTATCTCTGATGACATCCTATATATGTTTCATTTGACTTTGCATTCTCTCACGCATTTTTCCTTAGACTATGGTTTTTGTCCCTACTTGGGTTTTTACCATAGCCATTGGGTTTGTTGTGAGACTTAGTTCCATATGCAAGTTCCTACTTTACTTGGGATTAGCGTGTTCCCAAAATCAGTGCCGATGAGTCGACTTCCTCAACTATACATGATGCTAAATCTACATGAGTATTTACACACTCAAAAGGGAATGTTATAAACATTGTATTTAAGTATGATTGTGTAAATCCTAGTTAAGATTTTATACTAGTTATTCTTCCCTATTAGGACTTGTATTCATTGGAGGAGAATGATTATTCCCTCCCTTATTACTATAAATAAAAGCACTATTATTCCCTCCCTTATTACTATAAATAAAAGTACTGCGTAGAAGGAATAACACATCCTCTACACCCTACAAATACATCTCTCTCTACTCTCTCTCCCTGTAGATTAGAATAAGCAACAACACAATATACATACTAATAATAATACATTACAATTGCCATGAACATTTACATATAGAGGATATTTGGGTTAATCTCAGTTTATTACCCTAAAGTTTCTTGGTTTTCAACATTTCATACATGAAGTTTTTTTCGTCCCATTCGATACCTAAAGTCATAATTCTAGAATCAAGCTTCCAGTCAGGAACTGACTGCCTAGAACTCCTTGCCTGATTACTTACCTGACATTGCTCTCGAGTACTCATCTTCAACATCTTATGCTTCCAAAGAAGATACCACATATGCCTGAGGAACAGATAGGGCAAGTGAGAAGGATACAAGGAAGCATGTGGAGACAAGTGTAACAGAACACGTACCGATACATCCACTACTTTGTCAATAGAAAAAGTATCACATATCATCAGGGTCGAACATACTCTAGATTTGATGGACTTGTTTTGACCCTCAAATTCTTGAGTCGGCCTTATACTCTGGAGGAAACCAGAAAACCCTCCAGCCCAATTCAAGAATAAGCATGTGGAAAGTTACTTCTTCAAAAACAAAAGTATCTCATATCATCTCTTCTCAATTTGCTTCTCCTTATCCTTGTTGCTGTTTACGACACAAGGAGAAGGAGAACAATCAATCGAAAACCGAAGTTGAACCTCCGATCCAGGTTGCTTGCTTGGAAGTCCGATTGCTTACCGTGTCTATTACCTCATTCGGCAAATCTCCTAGCTCGGCGACTTGGGGAACTCCTACTATAGGGTTTGTATCGCACTTGACTAAGCCCAAAACTACAAGTAAGCTTCAAGTGAAATTGATACATTACCTTGTGCATCTTCATCGGTTAAAGATACCACCCCTGGATGGAGGAAAAGTACTTCCAGAAAAGATGCCACATCTATATATGAAATAGATAAGGCAAGTGAAAATGATACCACACTTCAGTACTTAAAAGTTTCGTGATTATTCAATGGCTTGGAGCTTGCAAGTCCCCAACCGAGGAGCTTCCCTCACTCGGGAACTTAGGGGAGCATTGTTTGTTCCATACTTGACCAATCCCGAAACTACTGAGCACCGGTCAATGTTATACCGTCAAGGACACATAAGAGTTTCCCTCCAACCAGAAGGCTAATCAAAGCACGACACGTGTCGACATCAGAAGCCAATCATAGCGCGACATGTGTCAACATCAGAAGCCAATCACAAAATGACACTTGTCAATATCAGAATGAAACTAGAAACTCTCTTCTATAAATAGAGATCATTCTCTCACAATATTTTCTAATGTCATTTGTACTAAATCATTCACTAGTACTCACTAAAGGAGAGCTTGAACCTATGTACTTGTGTAAACCCTTCACAATTAATGAGAACTCCTCTACTCCGTGGACGTAGCCAATCTGGGTGAACCACGTACATCTTGTGTTTGCTTCCCTATCTTTATCCATTTACATACTTATCCACACTAGTGACCGGAGCAATCTAGCGAAGGTCACAAACTTAACATTTTCTGTTATACCAAAGTCCTCACTGATTTTGTGTATCAACATGGGTATTACAAATTAAATAAAGAATTAAATAAATAAATAAAATGAAATAATAAAAATAAAAACTTTTCTCTTCCCCTCCCTCTTCTCTTCCGGATCTCTTCCATTCCTCCCTCTTCACCTCCTTGACCTGCCTTCTCCCTCTCATCCACCCTCTTCACCCCCTTCCATTCTCTCTCCCTATATCAACCCTCACCCACCCCTTTTTCTTAGAACCATTCAAATGACACCCTATATAGACCATCCCAATCTTTTCCCCTCCCGAAACCCTCGCCAATCACCACCCTATTTCCTCACACCCTCTATCTCTCTCTAGAACCTTCATTTCTCTCTCTAGAAATGATAGGTTTAGGAGTGGTTGTGGTGTACGGAAACAACGCAATCGCTAAAAGCAAGAAGTCATCATTCTCCGTCAAAGTGGGCTCGCCCAAATGTTCCGCAAGAATGTGATTATGAACATCGTCAATGACCAACAAGCCTAGGTCGTGGAGGAGGCCAGCGCATGTGCCATCATGGCCCTAAAGCTTGTTCCCACCGACATTCGCGACCAAGGCGGCATCGCCCTGATGTCCGACCCGCAACTCATCAAAGAAATCAAGCAGGCTATGACAATCCCCACCATGGCCAAGGCTTCCGATCAAGGCATTGATCTCTTCGTTGGTGGCGAACTTAGCAACGCCATTGATTTGGATTTGGAGGGTCTAGATTTAGATTTTGAGGGTTTGGATTTGGATTTGGATTTTGAGGTTTAGGGTTTGGGCAATGGCGGTGATGAAGGCGATAGGGTGGCGTAGTTTAGGTTGGGGTAGGTGAAGGTTGATCTAGGGAGAGAGAATGGAGGGGGTGAAAAGGGTGGTGGTGGAGAAGGAGGAGGTGGGTCAGGGAGGTGAAGACGGAGGAATGGGAGAGATCGAGGAAGAGAAAAGTTTTTTTATTTTTAATTGTTTAATACCCACGTGGGCCCATATTGACATGTGGCGCCCAGTCATTGTCCATGTGGGAGCCACATCATCAATTATGGAGGTTCTGATGGAAAACTTAACATATGTATGAAATGTCCCAGAATTATGAGTTTAGGTACCAGACTGGGACTAGAAAAAAACTTCATGTACCAAGAAACTTCAGAGTAGTAAACTGAGATAGCAGATGACGACGCGGTGACTCCCATAGCATGGCGATTCGATGTATTTAATTTTTACAATAATATTTATATTTGTACGTAGCGAGCTCATGACTTGCAGTTACCTAAGTTAAGGGCCACATGCAATTTGACTCTATACCACGTACTAGAAGAATTCACCACGAGAAACATATTTCTATATTTATATATTCATATGCATATTAATCAACGTGTAAGTTCATAAATGACTAACTGAAAATAATGTTAAATCCAAAAGTAATGTTATATCATGATGATAAACCTTCTGACTTGGTGTTTCCGTCCATCATGCATGTAGGTGAAGTCAATATCTTATATGTGTATCTGAGATTCTGAAATATCTAAAGCGTCAAAAGGAAAAAAGAATCATAAAAATAAAGTTAAAAATATATAAACAAAGAGGTGAGAAAATGCGAGGTCAATGGTATGGATCCGGAAGAAATTAAACAAGTGGGCAGCTAGTGCTACACCTTTCCAGTAAGGACTAACTAAGGAGGACAATAAGACTTCATACATATATAACAGAATGTAAGATTAATTATCCGAATAGGGAGCCAAATGGTCGGTCCATCCTGAAAATGACTCGCACGCATGTTTATTATCTATTATAATACATATTATAGTATTAGGTTATGTATATTATTAATTCGTGGCATTAAGACAAAGTCAATGTTGATCGGCTTGGTGATGTATATGATATTGGAAGTGGGTGAAAATTATAAGCCTAACTCTTCATTTTTGTCAAATTAAGCTCATCACCTACCTCATATTTGATAGCCTGTATTAACAAATTGGTAACCAAATCTTTATACCTATGGATTCTAGTTGGAATAATAGGCCTCTTACCACTGTGCTTTTTGCTGATTCGTTAGCTAGGTTTGATCAGCTTCTTCCAGTACTGTATACAATGATAATAATCAACAATTCGTTAGCTAGGTTTTTTTTTTTTTTTTTTTGTCGAAACATTCAATTTATTAAATTAGTAAAGATACAATTTGTGATGCAAGAGCCCAAGAAGCAATGTTTGAGGGAAACTTGATAAGAAATAAGAAAGTACATTGCCAAATGCCACAAACCTTGCATATTAGGCTTTACTTCTTTAATATTAAATGAGGAGGTGGCAGAATGTATTGTCCAACATTAGATTATCTTATAACCGCTCTCTTTTTCAACGTTACATCTTAGAAATTGGCGTACTTCATTAGTTACTAGTTCTTGGAATCCATACAACTTTTATTAAAGATAATTAAGTAAATTCATTTAAGTAACTTTGTACCAACATGACAGAGGGGGCGTTGGGGCTAGCGAAATGCGCAGTCGCACAGGGCCCCAAATTTGAAGGGACCCCCAAAATTTTTGCCATCTAATGTTATGTAATAGGGAATTGTTATTAGCACTCCAAAAATCTCATTTGGCACTCCAAACTTTCTATAATTAGAAAGAAAAATACACTTGTGAGAAGTGTAAAATGAGATTTTTGGAGTGTTAATAACAGTTCCCATGTAATAATGTTATATATTTAGAACATTGCTTCTGTTAGTACTTTAAAATCTCATTGTGCATTCCTTATAAGAGTATATTTTTTTTTTCCTTTCTAAATATAAAAGGGTAATGCTAGGGAGACTAAATTTGTAAACTAAATGATGAGTCACTAATAAGAAATGATCACGTTTATCAATGTTTAAGTAATAATCCAATCATCAACTTACATGTCAATTAATTTATAAAATTTTGTCTACAAATTTGGCATCCCTAGCATCACTCAATATAAAAATTTCGAGTACAATGAGATATTTTGATTGTCAATAATAACACCCTAAAAAACGATAGTTTTCCAATTTTATTATATAATAAGGTATATATTTAAGTGAACTTTAAAGTTAGTGTGTTGAAGTTTTTTTTCATGTTTGGTTGTTTAAGATTGAACTGCTTTTGATTATCTAGTGAAGGTTATGTTTGTAACTTTTTTATTTATAATTAATGACATTTATAAACTTGCAATCAGTGAGTGCTAAAGTTTATTTTGATTTAAGTAATTGTTTTCTAACATCAATACATTGCTTTACTTTTTTTAATACTATTTTAAGGAGAAGCCCTTTTATAAATTTGGCACATGGTTTCCAAAATCTCATAAACGACCCTGCAACATGACTATAGAAATTTTACTATATATGGATATGATTGTTATCGTTCAAACTAAAAGGTCGAAAGATATATATATATATTTTTTTTTTCTTTTAAAGGGTATGTATATACATTGCAGCCTCCCAAGGATCCAAAGAGTCAAAGTGATCTTTCTCGAAGGCGGGCATCATTAGTTTCTTTCAACCCATTTGAGACTTGGAAAGAAAAGGACAAAAGTAAGCGCGCCAGTCATGTCACTTGTATGCCTAAATGCACGGTTCCATTCTTCCAGATGAGATAACAACACCTCTAATTCCAAGAATTCTTCACTTCTTCACGCGTTCAAATTTGTTGGTGTGTCTACTACTATCCAGAGTAACCTTAATTAGCCCTTTCTTCTTTTTTCTTGGATTCCACCGGACCCATTTTATGATGTATATAGGCCTCTAATACGACACAATTTGGCTTTTACATAGCAAAGCTAAAACCAAAGACCCAAAAAGTTATATTTACAAAACTTAATTGTAAATGACTGGCTGCATCCACTGGAGAAAAAGAGATGGTGATGTTGACGATGACAGGATTGGATGAGAACGAGGAGTCATCATCATCCAGTGAATTCAAAACAACAAATTAAAGTTAGCTTCTAATGTTAATTTAGCAAATTTTTGGACTTGGACGAACAAACGGTAGGTATAAAAGGATGTGAGACCACTCCTACATTCCCTACATTTGTCTTCAAAATCTTATTCATCGATTTTTTTCTTACAATTATTCGTTGATTCTCATCACGTAACGTGTGGTTTTCCATTTTAGATCTTGTTTATCAATAACTTTGAGGTGGCAGAGAGTGGAGTCTCACTTTTGAAAAAAGTTCCCTTAGCATTCATTTGAATTAGAATTCAAGAGTAACAACTATGCAGCAGAAGTGAAGGAAGAAGCAGAGAGAGCTAGGAGGACAGCACGAAAATGGCAGCTGTAAAATATCTTTTATTACAGAACTTAAGTGTCGGTCATGGAGCAGGTTTGGCATGCAATGTCTTGCTGGAACTCGCCTAATCTTCTGGTTAGCGGATGCTCGTGAGAAGATTTGAAGATACAGCGCATCACAACTTGTTAATGGTATCCCAAATGGTCATGCCAAAGAAAAAATTGGTGTACAATCTCTAATGTGGGGCTGGCCACATAGTGGTTCTCTATGGAGCTGATGGTTGTAATTTACAAGCCACTCAAGAGACTCTCCATCTTCTCTAGAATACACTTCTGGCCATATTTATAGAAGTGATGCACAGAAATTCAACTCTGTTTTCTACAAAGGTTTCAACGCGATAATTATTGAAAAGGGAAAGATGTGCTCAAGCATGCGAATAAAGCTCTTCAGATTGAAAAATAAAGAAATATAGTTAATATATTCAAGATAATTACATATTTACAAAATATTGTCTCAATAGCTTATCACACAGTTCAGAAATTCATATACGTAAGGGCCCGGCGGCCGAAGGTGCCTTAGGTCATATCTCGAATGTCTTTAAAGCTCAACAATGTTCTTCTGGAACTTGGAGAATAAAGAGACTCTTTAATGGCCAATTTAGTGCCATTTGACAACACTATATAGGCCTATATGCATCATTCTATCAGGTTGATGTGCCTGAGAGGATTGTTAGAGGTGCATTCTTAGGTACGAAGTTAGTAATATAGGTGCATTCATGCAAAATGGTGTGCATGGTTGCACTATTTACCAAACAACTAACTTTCCCACTAGTCATACATAGAATTAAATTAATTGAATTAGTCACTAGCATTCATAAGTTTAAAAACATAAATTTAATTGAATTAATTATTCAATAAAATAATCCATTAAACTTAATATCTAAAATTAAGACAAACACCAACAAATTATCCGAACATAGGAAATTATTCAAAACTTAAACCAAAAAACATAGAGAGGTTCGGCCACATAGGGAATTTGGCCCGGTAAGGGTAAAATTCAGCCAGTATATGAGCCCATGTCTAAGAATCTAATCTTCCATTAGAGCAGGTGCCTCCTGAAAGTGAGAAACCTCAATCTTTGTATCCTCTAGTTCCTCCACTTGAGCAAAGTTTGATTCAAACTTCTTACGACGAGAATGATACTCAACTTCAATCTTGGAGGGAGCTCGAAAAACACAAGGCCAATTGTCCTTCGCACCACAGCGATAGGACATCTCCGCATCCATGATATTGGCTGCTTTGCCCTTATTCTTGAAGTTCGACGCCTTTGGACCAAGGTTGAATGCTTTGAGGCTCTATTTCCTCCCTTTGATAGGCATGCACTATGTTGACCTTGGTGGGACGGCTTCTAGCTGCGCCTAGAACAATGGTTCAGTAGTCAATTCTCGTTAATGTGTTTCAGGCACAACGGTCGAGCCAGTAGGTCAAGCTTGATGATTCTTCATCAACAGTTGAGTCTGCTTTTCAACAAAAAATAAAACTGAGATTAAATCAGAAAACTTGGTGAACTTTTAAGCCCTATATTGTTACTGCAGAACAATATTGATCATAGAGAAGGCCGAATATGTCTTTTCCAGGAGAACTTGTTCAATCAAGTCTTCGTTACAGAACTCAAGAAGTGATTGGATTCGACAAACTTCATAATTGTATTCATTCACGAACTTAAAGACATGGAAGTGCAAATGCTACCAGTCGTGTCTTGTTTTAGGCAAGAATATGTCTCTTTGGTGATCGAAACGATCCGCCAAGCGACCCATAAAGCTTATGGATCTTCCTCAGTGAGGTACTCGATTTGTAGTGCGTCGTGCATGTGTCTTTGTATAAAGATCATGGCGGTGACTTTGTCAACTTTGCCAACCGCGATATCCGTCTGAACTTCTATGGTTGCTCTAGGGCTTTTAGCAATTCGGTGGAGTTTCATCTTGGACTCACTTTAGGTAGTTTCTTCCAAATACCTCTAAAACGGTAAAGTCGAGTTTGTTCAAATTCGACATATCCCTAACACAAA